ATCTTTGTTGCCATATTTATTACAGTGTTTCAGCCGTTGTACATTCTGGCCTTCTTCAGGTGGTTGGAATGTCAAACTGAACCCTTTATTTTGCTCACTGGGGTAGACTGTTCTAGTTCCACGTGCTATGTTTAATGGATGTCAGTTATCAGTTATCTCCTGTTAATTTTCCCTCTGAAAGTTCTCCACTGCCTTAACCGGGTATTGACTCACACTCTTTGGGTCCTGTCACTGGATCTAACCAACACCTCATGGCACAGTGGATAAAGGCGTTGGTTAGTGTTCTGCTTACTAATGTAATAATAGTAGGCTGCTTGTATCTGAGTATAATTGTCTGCTAGGATAGTTAGCCAATCCCTGTTGCAGATGCCTACTTAGGCACATTTGTTTGTTCAATACCAACAGAGCCCATCTATGGTTTATACTGAAACTATGCTGAGCAGACCTCAGTTACAGTTTTTGACAGTGAGCAGATAATTTGGCATAAACAACAGTTTGAACAAGGCCAGTACACTTAAACACTTGGTCAAATGACTTGTTACTTTATACGAGTACAACCATTTATCTCAATATCAATCACAAGGCTTGGGTTAATCTGTGGTAAGGTTTTTTTTAGGCACTTTCCAATGGTGACACACATAGGAACAATTTCCCCATGCCGATAACATCAAGAACTAGAAAAGAATTCTTTGAACGTTATTTTCTTTATGAAAATACCTTATATTCTATTATTTGTTGTTGAGGCAGAGTATAGAGATGATGGGTGTTAATTGTGGGATGTATTTTGTTTCCAAGAATCATTTGACAAAATATTGACAAATTAGATGCTTGGGATGGAGTCTTTAAATAGATGCCATGAAAGAGAAATCAAACTGAGATTAAAAGCTTTGAATTAAAAAAAGAATAAAAGAAAAAGGAAAAAGAATAAGAAAAAGGAAAAAGTTTCAAAATATAGTCTTTATTTTCAGACTATATTTCTTTCTGGAAAAACTGATAAGTTATTTTAGGCTTTGGGCAGATATAGTGGAAAGAATAAGAGAGGCAGTGAAGAAGAATAAAATTAATATAAAAAGAGAAGACAATGTGATATGAGTATTAAAAAAAAAGGAAGAAGAAAAGGAAATGAAAAATAAGGAAAGATTTTTTAAAAATTAGGAAGAAATGTTTCTAAAGGAAGATGACAAATACTGCATAAAGAAGAAAAATAATAAAAGAACAAAAAATAAGGAAAAAAAAGAAAAAATTCAAATGAATGAATCAAGGAAGAAAAGATTTATAGAAAGAAATGAAAGAATACATGAACATGAGCCATAAAAAGAAAGGAAAGAAAAAGGTAAATGAAGAAATTAGAGACAATGAAAAAAAGGAAGAAGAATGAGAGAAAAATAAATGGCAAAGAGTGAGAGAAAAAAAAGAATAGAAAAAAGAAAAGGAAAAAGAAATAAAAGAAAAAGGAAAAAGAAATAAAAGAAAAAGGAAAAGGAATAAAAGAAAAGGAATAAAAGAAAAAGAATAAAAGAAAAAGAATAAAAGAAAAAGAATAAAAGAAAAAGAGAAAAAGGAAAAGGAAAAAGAATAAAAGAAAAAGGAAAAGGAAAAGGAAAAAGAATAAAAGGAAAAGGAAAAAGAATAAAAGGAAAAGGAAAAAGAATAAAAGGAAAAGGAAAAAGAAAAAATAAAAAAAAAAGGAAAGGAAAAAGAATAAAAGAAAAAGGAAAAAGGAAAAAGAATAAAAGAAAAAGGAAAAGGAAAAAGAATAAAAGAAAAAGGAAAAGGAAAAAGAATAAAAGAAAAAGGAAAAGGAAAAAGAATAAAAGAAAAAGGAAAAGGAAAAAGAATAAAAGAAAAAGGAAAAGGAAAAAGAATAAAAGAAAAAGGAAAAGGAAAAAGAATAAAAGAAAAAGGAAAAGGAAAAAGAATAAAAGAAAAAGGAAAAAGAATAAGAAAAAGTCTATAGAAATATATTAAAAGTAAGGAAAGAAAGTTAGGAAGGAAGACAGGAGAAATTGTAAGAAAAAAGACATTAAAGAGGTAGATAATTGGACACAGGAGTGAGACAGAGGCAGAAAATGAAAAGAAGGAAAAAGAGAAAATAAGAAAGGATATGTTGAAAAGAAAAAAGAAGAAATAAAATGCTGTTGTGTTGAATACGTATAAGGTTTAAAGAAAGTCTGGTCACCAGCTGGTTCCTTATGATCACACTAGTGTAAAACAGAATAAATTCTTTTGCCTGGGTAATGTGTAGCTGATACCTGATTTATAACAAGGATCACCGCTGCAGGTTCTCAGCAGGTTACTAACTAGGCTGCACAAGTCGCCAAGAGCTCAGGATAAAGACAATTTGACAGAAGGTAAGCAAAAGGCAACAGAGAATTTAGGGGAAACCTGACAGGTCCTATAAGAATGAAAAGGACACCCACTACCCTTAAACGTTTTAGAAAAAGAAACTTGCAAAGAGAAACAAATGAATTTGCCCCTGGTTTCTCACCACAGCTGCCATGTGATGTGATATCCAAAGAAAAATGGTAGGAAGCATGGCAACAAGTTTTTAGTTTGGTAAATTTTGGTTTAAAATATGCAGATCACGGTGATACCCTAAACATTTATTTTTTTATTTGACGTCTGTCATTTTTTTGCAGCTGGAAGTAGTCTCTTCCAAAGCATTGCAGATCTTTTGATTTAGGAAAAATAAGAGAATTAATTACTTTGCTTATGTAACCAACCCTAAAGGGCTATGTCACTAGCCTTGAATCTGATACTGTCATGTCTGACCAGAATCCATCCAAAATGAGGAGACAAACTTTCATTTATACCATTCACAACTGCAGCTACAGAAGAAAGTGCTAGCCCTCCTCCCAAAATCAGTATTTTACCAAAACAGTATGAGAACTTTTCAGCAGCTTTCAAGTGTGTTGTATGTGTCTTATTACTTTAAATGTTAGCAAAGACTGGCTTTGAGAGACTCAAACAAAATAGGGTAACTGAACTTTGCTGGACTGTAAAAGACCTCCATGACATGAGTAGTGTGAAAGTCTTCCATGGTTGAGTGGTGAACTGCGCTTAGTAGTAGTTTCCACTACAAGGGACACACATTTGAACCTAATCAGAATGCATATTTTCTTTAAGATTCTTGAATGCACAGGCTGGTAGATATAAATTTACCCAGTTTAAAAAAAAAAAAAAAAAAAAAAAAAAAAAGGAAAAAGGGATGTCTATTCAAATATCTGTACTGACTAAAAATATTATTTAAAGTAATAAAAAATAATCTTGGATTATAAATAAAATCCATTATTTCTTAAGAAAATATATATCTATATCTATAATTCTCAATGTGTGTGTGATCGGATGTTGTTTATGTGTTTCCACAGTTTTCATTTGATTTCAATGAATTTTTTTGTTTGATAGATAATTCTTCAGTGCTAGTTTTGAGCCCAAATTGTTGGCGACAATGGCTCTCCACTACTTCTTGTTTATTATAACTCTCAGCAACGTTTTACTATTTACTATCTGTTCTTGAATATATATCTTTCATAAAAACTTTAATAAAAATAAATAGTTTCAATTATTACAATAATATTATTTATTTTTATACAGTTCTCTTTACAGGGGCACACCTCCCCCCATTCAAATTGTTAACTCCCTGTTTGGGTACGTACCTCAGTTGAACCCAATTGTTGTTACTAATATTGATTTTTGGGTTTGCTGACTTTAAACTTAAACTGCTCCAATTGAACAGCAAAAATTCCCAGTGATGAAAGACCCAGTCAAAGATGGGTTATACTGCTAGTGTGTATATATATCAGTGTGGACATAGAAATCAACAATGCATGGTAACTGGTAGTTTCATGCCTGAAGCAATCATAAAATCATGTTCTGATTATTGCTTAAGCTGTAAAACTAAAAATCAACATGAAGTGTTGATTTTCATACTGTTTATATCTGCTCTATTTCAAATACTGAATATTCTTCCCTTAAGAAAATAGAGTTAATTTTAAATAATTACATACCTGAATATGTATGTGTATATACATGTATCGTAAATATTAAAGAAAATGTCTACTTTGAAATCAAATTTTAACAGTCTTTATTTTCCTTTATTTATTGATTATACATGTGAATAAAGATGAAAGGGAAACTTATCTTAGCCAACACGTCTTGTCCACTGAGGCTAACAGAAGTTTGCCTTTGGTCTTTATTCTTATTGTTTCATTACAGATATACTCTTTTAGAAATTTTTACACACACAAACACACACACACACATATATATATATATATATATAAGTATGTGGAAAATCAATGACGGAGTTCATTGAGGTCTCAGAAGCATTTGAGCATATTCTGTCACAAGTAAACTGGTGCTGCATGATGGAAAAATGACAACTCAGTGAATGGTAAGGTGCAAATCAATCTAAAATCAAGTGAGATCTTTTGGAACCATATCACCCGGCTGGTAAGAGGAAAAAAAACTGAGCACCACATGTCGTAACTGGATCAATATATATTTCACTGAGATTTGGGCCACTTGAAGCAGGTAGGCTGTTCTAGTTTCACATGCCATGTCTAATGGATGTCAGTTAGCAGTTATTATTTGGAGTTAATTCACCTTTCCAAGTTCTCAACCACCTTAACCAGGTATTGAACTCGCACTCTTTGGGTCCTGTCACTAGATCTAACTAATTCCTTAAGTTAAGGCAGTAGAGAACTTTTTCTGTTATGATAAGTTTAATGACCGAAGCCTTTACTGCAACAACATTTACAGTTTAGTTTTACTTTTTAAATATGTGAACTACAAACCATCAAGAACATTTTTCTTAATCTAAAGTACAGTGGATGGCAGAAATACTTCCCACATAATGGAAAGACATTAGCTAGATGAAGACACTATTGCCACTAATTTCATACCATTACATGGAAGATATTTCTGGAAAGTAATTTCAGCCACACCCTGTATTTATTTAGTTATGGAGTCACAAGACCAATAAAATTAGTTTTTTTTTTTTTTTTTTTTAAATCATGTTGGTGGATAAACTGCAGTTGAGTAGTCCAATGAAATATGCCCCCAATTAAAACCTATTTTTTATCTACAAAAAATCTAAATATCAGTTATGGTTACTTTGTTCTTTATTTAGACAGTTGCTGAGTTTTAGAAACATTTCATGCAAATAAAATCCAGTGTATGAATTATGACCTTTTGGAGCCCCTAGGCTAATGAAATTATGGGGTATACTTTAGACAGAGCCACACTTGCATGTCCTCGACTTGAATATTTTTTACTCATTATATATTATAGCAACATTCATATAGCTTGAAGTAAACTTATCGCAAATTCTTTAAATAAACTAGAATAAGTATCTTTTGTTTGTCAATAAAATATTCTTTAAGAAATACCATTATTTTACTATTTATTGTAAACCAAATTAGCACATATTTCAATATAACTGTAATAAAAAAAGATTGGTAAATTTTCATTTTAATACCAGAGCGCTAATATCCCTTCAAATTTTTCCCAAATAGTCTTATTTCTGTGCAAATGTATATGCTGAACTCAAATCAACAATTAGATATTAAAGAAACCTACCTTTTTGGATGTTAACAACCCGAAAAAAATCGGACTTTTTCCTGGTCTTTTGTCGGTCATTAGCAGCTTATTGATAAGTAATTAAGTGCTGAATTATGTCGGTGGACATATACAATTTGGGCCTATTTACTCCCTTCACAGTAGTTCCTTGTAGTTAACTTTCAAATTAGGGTTAGGTGTTTTTTTTTTTGGGTTATTTTTTTTTTTTAAAGAATAAAGTTAACTTTCAAATTAGGGTTAGGTGTTTTTTTTCTTTTGTTATTCTTTTATTTGTCGATGTTTACATATATTTCAAAGTTAACTTTATTCTTAAATTAAGTACACAAAAAAAAAAAAAAAAAAAAAAAAAAAATTGCTTTTTACGGGAAACATTGTACTAATTTCTGAAAGAAAATAGTTCAGCAGTAAATGAAGCTCAGGTGTTAAAATGAAAATTTAACAAAAGATTTTTTACAACCAGCATTATAATAAAATATGAGTTTGTCATATTGATATTATTTCAGTTTATGCTACTATTTAGAAGTTGTAACATCTAGAAAATTTAAATCAGTGCTTTATAAAGAAGTTCTAAAACTTAAATATTCTGAACTAAAATCAAACATGTTATCTACTTGAAACATAATGACACAACTAAAACATTATTTTCCTTTGTTTTCCTTCCTGCAAAGTCAAATAAATGAGTGTTATTGATATCATTTCTGTTTATGAAACTAGTTAGAAATTATAACATCTAGAAAATTAAAATCATTGCTTAAAAAAGCTTGGGGGATCCTAGATTGCAGCCTATACTAGCCTAAAGGATAATCTGACCCCAAGTGTTTTCCAAATTAATGTTTCTGATCTTCAGTCATGTTTTTAAAAGCAAGTCAACCTGTTTATTCTAAAAAAATTGTAATGAAAAGGTGTTAAGCCCCTAATGTTTGCCTCGGGGTTCTTGATAAGATCCAGAGATGGATATGCAATATAATTGGCCCTGATCTAGCATCTTGTCTGCAGTCGCTCTCTCACAGATGTGCCGTTGCCTCTCTCTATCTTTTTTTACAAATACTTTTATGGTAATTGCTCCAATGAGCTGCTTTCGCTGGTTCCTAGACTTCGCAAATTCAAGTTGGCAACCTGCTCTCACCCTTTCACTGTTGAAACTGTTAAATGTAGCTGCCTCTTCTACTCCAATAGCTTCATATCTCGAACCTCTTGCCTGTGAAACTCCCTTCCCTATTCCTGTTTCCCTGACAGCTATAATCTCCAACTATTCAAATGTAATGTCAATCAACATCTCCAGTTGCCTTGATCTATCCACTATCCTTCTCCACATCCTTTCTTCTATCATTCATATCTGCTCTCGCTCCAAATCCTCTATAACCCCATTCATGCTTGTGGCTTCCCCGCTTGTTGTTAGGGAAATGCTTAAAAAAAAAAAAAAAAAAAAAAAAATGTAGCAAGAAAAAGTAGGGCTAATAAAATTGTCAATTTAAATGACTTGGAAATTTAGATTCTCATCATCACTGTTTGTATATGAAGGTTGCTTGATTTCTTTTCTTTCATTTATGTATTTTTTTCACTTTTTTTAAATATAAACTGAATGCTTCAAGTTGAGAAGGAAAGTTGCCAGTTGAAGACACAGCATAAGAGAAAAAGCAAGATAAATATCACTTAGAGTTAAATTTTTATCCTTCTTATTGAGAATAGTGCCACTAAGGTTTCTCCTTGGATAAAAGCCATGATCAATGCTTTTCTGCATTCTTGGAAATACCAGGTGAAACCACAATCTTCTCTTTGGTTCACACCTGCCTTTTCAGTTGCTATAACCCACAGGAATCACTTTTTCCACCTGTAACAATGTGATAGTTTTGATCACAATAGATCCCTCTTTGTGTTTGCCTGTAATATTCTTTGTTCACTGATAGAATGAGGCATTGT